AAAAACCCCAAAACCCCAAAACCTAACCCCCAACGCAGAAAACGAAGACGACATAGTCCGCCGGGACTCCCTCCACGCCATCATCAACAACCTCCCGGATCCCAACTACGCCACGCTACGCGCTGTCACCCTGCACCTACACCGCGTCATCGAGAACTCATCGACCAACCGTATGAGCTCGCAGAACCTTGCTATTGTGTTTGGACCTACGCTTATGGGTACTGCGCCGGGGTCGAATATCTCGGATGCCGGGTGGCAGGTGAGGGCGGTGGATACGATTTTGCAGAATACGTATCAGATTTTTGATGATGATGATTAGGTGGCTGGCTAAGGTAGGTGGATGGATGGATGGGTGGGTGATGGTCATGGTCATGGTTATGCATGGGGGATGGGGGTTGGTCAAAATGGGGGAGGAGAGCGGGGCTCGGACAGATGCGGAGGGTTGTTAATCTGCGGATGGTTGTAGTTGTATATCGGGGGGGTCTGGTTCGGGTTGTTCGATGATGGGGAGTCGGGGCGTGCCTGTGTTTATGTTTGGTTGCGATTGGGGGCGATGGATTTGGGACTGAGGCTGAATGAATAATAGCCTTGTTATTAACACTCTACCTGGTTACCTGGTTTGATGATGTGCTGTCTAAGATGAACATGATGATTTACAGGGTTCATTCATCCTAAACTCTGCGCATATGGGTGAATAAATCGTGGTGCTCACAACGGTCAGGACCAATTTGAGCGTAATTGAACGCAATAAATATTCTTTGCCAGATATACATAATTTTTCGAGATCAATCAGAGGTACCATTCCCGCCAGCATCAATTTCGAATCTTAAAATGCCCCATTGGGCATGTGTGCCGTTAAAAACCCCAAATCTAGTCGAGGATGGCCGAGTCGTCGAAGGCGCTACGTTGGGGTTCAGGGATTAGACGCACGGACCACATCACATCACATGTCCTCCGTCTGTTGCGTAAGACAACAACTAAAGTAAGACAAAAACCACTAGCCACGATAACATGCACAAAAACTGATGAAAAAAATTGGACAGTATGAAAAGAACAGCCAGCCGGGCTTATTTCCAAAACTTAAAAGGGAAGATAGGGAAAAAAAGAAGGAGCTCCTCCGGGAAGGCTCGAACTTCCAACCTCCTGATTAACAGTCAGACGCGCTAGCCAATTGCGCCACAGAGGAGGATGCTCCGATTTGTGGATGTTTTTGCACTCGGAAAGGGGGGCTTATCAATTAGTTAGCAGATGCAGATGCAGATGCAGATTGAAGACAGACCACGTTTGTGGATTGAGTTTAACAACCAAAGACGTACTTACTTACTTACAGATACCTTGCGTAGTTTTCGCGATGCACTTCATACTTAACAAAGTTAATGCGCACTCGCAGCCAGTTTTATAAATCACAGCCACCAACACGAGTGATGCCTGAACGCTCTCGTCAAAACATCAAAAACACGCAGTGTATATTCCCAGGTTCCATGTATCATCACCCAACCCTCTCTATGAACCACCCCATCATACCTTACCCAAACCCGTACGTACACTTATTACACTACACCCCCCGCTACAACGGCGCCTGCCACCTTAAATTAATCTGTTTCCTCTTGACCTGTTGGTACAAAAAAACATTCAGTCAGCCACTAATCTCCTCAAAACGCATGTACACCAGAGGGAAGGGGAGCGGGAAAAGGGGACAGGAGGGAAAAGGGAGACAAGGGAGAAAGGGAAAAGGGAGAAGGAACTCACAACCGGCGCAAGCATCAGCACCCCCACAAACAACGCCACCACCGTCCCCACCAACGCAACCTTATTAAACCCCTTGCCCAAAATATCAAACAAGAAACTCGGCGCCACCCTTGTCCCAAACACATCAATCCCATACGCAAACACCAGACTCGTACTCTCCACCACCGCCGGCGCCGCCAGAATCTTGGCGGTCCCACCGTTACCGCCGCTACCGCTCCCACGACCAAGCAAAACATCCCGCTCGTGGGACACGACACTCTTCGGATCAATCTCCACCGCCGGGTGGTACCGGATCAGGCCCTCCTCTGCCTCAGCAGGCGTCGGGTCGCGGCCCACAGGCCGGCGCGGCTCGAGGACTACACGCGGGATGCCGACGATGCCGTGGGTCTCGGGGAGATAGGCAAGCACCTGGCGGGAGGTGATGCCCTGGCGGGTTTGGGTGACTTGGAGCGCCGAAACGGGAGCGCTGAGGATGTAGGCTTGGGATACGGCCGCGGGACGGACGACGCCGCCGGCGGTGGGTTCGTCCACGGGTCCGAGGGAGGAGAAAGTGGCTGCGTCGCCGAGGGGGCCGCGGTCGTTGGGGGATTCGCTTTCGTAGAGGTCGGTGACGAGGATTTGGTAGCCTTTGAGGGTTTGGGAGGGGTTGGCGCGGAGGGTGTACTGGCCGAAGTAGGTGCAGACGAACCAGTTTTCGGCCATGGCGCATTCGATGGGTTTGGTGGTGTCGATGCCGTCGTGCTGGGAGGTGGAGAGGATTTGGCCGGAGACGGTGTCGAGGAGGTAGAGGGCGAGGGTGTCGGTGGCGGGGTTGGTGGCTGCGACGATGACGGTGTTGGGGTTGAGGTACTTGTACTTGACGGTGCGGTCGCCGAGAACGCGGCCGATGGAAGCGACGGCATCGTGGGCGGGGCGAGAGGCGACGTGGACGATCTGCTGGCCCTGCGGGGGGGAGAAGACCCAGGAGGTGGATTCGTGGGCGGTCGTGCCATCGTTTGCGGCAAAGACAACGCCCTTGAGCTCACCAGCGGCACCGCGCGTGATGACAGTCTGAAGGGGGGCCTTGTCGGCGTCGAGATCTCCGATCCTGCCGCCACGGCCAATGCGAAGCAACTGCTTGCCGGAGTGAGTGTCAACAAGGGCCGTAGCCTGGGTGGTGGCGTCCGGGCCCGGCTCCTTTGCCTCGATGATCTCGCCAGTGTCGGCCCGAACAACAACAACATCATCGTTGGCGCCGAGGATTGTGACTTCGCCCGTTGAATCCTGCGCCTGGATCCCCTTGACATCCCACCTGCCGCCCTCGGGAATCTGGAATGCACGTGTGCTCCAGACCACCTTGCCGTGGTTGCCAGTATCTAGGGCGTAGAGCATACCGCGCTTCGTGGCCAGGATAGCCAACTTATTGAATCCGAAGCTGTCCCGGGCCAGCTTGCCCGCGCTGGACGACACATCCTTTCCGTAAATGCTGCTGATGAAGCGCACGGGGAGACTATCAATCCAGGCTGGGAGGTACTGCAGGTCGCTGATGTGGCGCTTGATGCGGTGGAGGTACGCCTCCAGGGGGTTGCTGTGGGCTTCGGCCTCGAGAGACCGGGCAAGGTCCTCGCTCTCGGGGATCTCGGCGAAGGTAGCCGCAACACCGCCGCTCATGCCCTCGGGACGGGTCCAGGCCGTCTCGCCGTTGCGGATCAAGACCCAGTCATCGAGATCCGTGACGGCTGCGGCTCGGACCGCGTATCCCTCATCCGCACTGCCCTTTTTAACAACCTCAGAAACGGCATGAACAGCAGTGGCCGTCACATTGCCAGACTTGAGAGGCCAGCGTCCCAGCACGCCGTGGGACTGCGACGACACAAGCGAAACCTCGTCCTCCGTGATACGGGTGAAGTAAACGTTGGCGCCGTTCGAGCTAGTCGAAAACGAGCCTGGCCCAGCGGCATCGGGCAGGCTGTACGCCTTCGAGATGGTGTTGGTCTTCAGATCGATATGGAAGACCTCTCCGCGGTGGCCAGAGACCGTCTTGCTGTGAACCAAAAAGTGCGGCTGCGACTGCACCAAGTGCGGTGCGTGGATCTCCACGTCGACGGTCCCCTCCGGCAGCGCAAACTCCTGCTTGGTCTTGGTGCCCAACACGTTGACCAACAACATCTTGCGAGCGTCATCCATCCACGCCACAATAGGCGAAGCCGAGTTCGCGCCCACAAGCACAACGTCCTCCCTCCGATGCACATCTCCGCGCCCACCGCCAATGACCAACTCATCCAGCTTCTTCCCCGTCACCGTATCCAGAACCGCGACCTTAACATGATACGCGCCCGCGGCGCCCTTCAAACTAACCACAAACACCTTCTCCAAGTTCGTGCTCACCTGCAGCGGCGTATCCCGAGTCGTCTCCTTAAACTCCCACACCACACTCCCATCCTCGGCGCTCAACCGCCGCAGATATGTCTCCCCCCCGTCCCCCTCAAACAACACCAACACGTCCTTCCTCCCTTCCCCGCTCTCCGTCATTTCCATCACCTCCAAATCCCGCACGCGCGCCCCGTCAAACGCGGCCCAAAACTTATTCCGTCCACTCACCGCATCCCACGCGTGCACCGCATCCCCATACGCACTCACCACCCACCCTTCTCCTTCTCCAGCCCTCATAAACCCCCCATCCCTATCCCCATCAGCAGCAGTAGAAGTAGCAACCTCCTGCCGCCAAACAACCTCCCCACTGCCCGGGTTCACAGCCCCGACAACACCAACATCACTAAGTGTATACAGTAAACTGGCACGGTCGGCGCGGCGTGGGCGATGGAAGAAGGTGGTGTCGCGGGAGGGGAGACCGAGGAGTTGGTGGTGGTAGTCGATGTGGCCGACTTCGTCGCGGAAGACGGCTGCGAGGGTGGTTTGGGGGAGCCCGAGAAGGGAGAAGGTAAAAGCGGGGAGGGCGCGCTGGAGGCGCATGGTTCTTGTTTTTGGTGGTGGTGATCAATCGGTGGTGGTTTGGGTTGGTTGTGGTTGTGATTGTGGTGGGATTATGTTCGGTCGAGGGTTTGTAATCGTAGATATTAATCTATCGTCTTTGTCATTAGATTCGCCGCCAGATTGTCGGTCCGTTTATTCGCCGTTTTCGTCCGTTTATCCGCCCGGTCGTTCGTGCCTCGTCGTCGTTTGTCGGCTCGCTCGCTGCCCGTGGCTGCGATAATCGATCGACACGATTCCTTCTTCTACCACGTCACTCGCCCGCAATCCATTGATCCCTCGACAAGCCTCAATTTCCAAATCACCAGCAATCACTCTCGATGCCAGCCGTAAATAATGTCGCCGGCGGTGCAGAACCTTGATGTTGATGTCGAGCTTGAGCTGGGGAAACAAGAAGCTCGAAGCCGTTGTTGTGTTTTGTGTGGAGCTGAGCTGAGCTAGCGAGAGGTGACGTTGGAACAGGGCCTGGGGAACTTTTGGAGATGGGCCGCTGGAAGGCCCCTGCGCGGCGACGAGCTACCCCTGACTGGATGGTCTTGGCGCGATGCCAAGACAAGGACGTGGACGGTTTAGGGACGGATTTCATGTGGGTTTAGTTTGAATTTTTCACGTTTACTGCGTAAGAAGTATTCCTAGTTGAGAACATTGTCTTACATATAGGGCGCGAGAAAAGTTTCATCGCCTACCTTGCCCCTGTGGGGTATTATTTGACAGCTACATGGGAAGTTCACAAGAGAAATACCACAGTACGTCGAGTAAACGATCCAATGGCTGCAAACCGATATCACCCAAATACAACTAGTAGCATTCGACGACCTCAGCTGAATAAACAACCAGAGCCACAGCTACAAGGGTGAACTATCCAACCCCTCTCCTCTCTCAGATCAACCTCCCCATCATCTACAAAACCCCCTCCCCGTCCTCCGCCCCCTCTTTCTCCCTCTCCTCAAGCCTAACCGGCACACAAGCCCACGAGCAGCCCATCCTCAAAAACGGCACAGGCGCCGCCACACCCTTATCCTTAAACTCATCCACCAAAACCTCCCCCTCCTCTCCCACCGTACGCGTGCTAGCTCCAATCCGTCGAAACTCAACCCACTGCGTCACCGGGATTAGGGTTTTGCGGCCGCAGATATCACAGGCAATACCACCACCACCACTACCACCGCCGCCGCCGCTGCCGGTGCGGTCGACGTGGTTGTTGTTGTTGTTGTTGTTGTTGTTGCTGCTGGTGTTGGTGGTGGTGTTGTCGGTGGTGGAGGTACGGCGACGACCACCAGCATCACTCTCACGGTACAGGGCCAGTGCCCGGCGGGCAACAGGCGCGAAATGCGACGGGAAATCGGGGTCTGTCAGCCAGTGATTGATGATGTAATCCGCTTGGTCAGATTTCACGCAGGCGCGCAGGGCCATCTCAAACAGCGAGGGGGCGCCTCGGCGTTGGGTTAGCAGGCTGCTGGTGGTGGTTTGGGCTTCGCGTTCGAGGGCCTTGGGGGTTGTGAGGGAGGTGAGTGGCTCGATTTCGAGTGGCGCGGGGTAGTTGAGAGTTGACGAGGAGGAGGAGGTTGCGTCGGCGTCTGGCATGTACTTGTCTGAATCGTGGACTGCCGTTCGAGGTCTCTCTGCGTCGTCGTCGTAGCCTGGATGGGCGTAATCGATGGGAGGCAGAGTGAAATGGGAGTGACTGGCGAGGGCGCTGTCCATGAACTGGACTGGGGTACGGGAGTGCATCTTGGTGGCGAGGCCGGCCCAGGTAGAGGAAGGGGCAATCCGGGGCTGGAGTCGGCCGTGGTAAGTGAATTGGTCGTACTCATTGCCGCGGGCTTCACTGGGGGCAGCGCGGCTGGGTAGGCCGTCGTCAGAGTTAGTATCCTTGCACTCCCAGAAGCGGTTGGGCTTGAGGCTCAGCGTCTGGAGCTTGCTGCCAGGGCGAAGAAGGTCGAGCAGCGCGCCCGGGAGGTACGTGAGGAAGTTTTGGGCGATGTTGAGCGATTCCAGGTTGACGAGCTTGGAGATGATGGGGGACAGCCTCGTGAGCGAGTTTGCGCGCAGGCTGAGCACGGTCAGGTACTCCACTTGGACCAAGGAAGGCGGGAAGCGTCGCAGCTCATTGTTAGCGAGGAACAGCTGGTATCGGGGCTTCCTATGCTCGAAGGCCACGTTCCTCGTGACAAACGGGATCGGTTCGATCTCCAGAATGCGCTCTACCATGTCATCGCTGACATTGCGAAGGTCCAAGCCACTATTTGCAGGTTAGCGAATATGTCCCAGGCTCTCATAATCAGGGCTGAATGGAGATCAGAACAACCCCCCCACAAACCAGCCACCTACCTAAGATCAACCTGCTCCGTGCCAGTCTCCACACAAAATCCAATCGCACGATGAGCTTGCTCCTCCCGCGGGGTGGGCGCAAAACGGTTAGCCCTAGTCACCGGTACGTGGACGCGATGAGGCGGGGCAACGATCACGCGTGTCGCCGTCGCAGGTGTGAAGGGAAGACGTGAGGCTGCGGGCTCGATGTCGAAGCTTTCGTCTGTGTCGGTAAGGGAACCTTCCGTGCCCAGCCAGACACCACTGTCGAGTTGACGCCGGAACTCGCGCTTTTGCGGTTGCTGCTGCTGCTGCCCTTGCTCCTGATATTGCGACGACGAGCGGCGCTTCGCGCGACGGCGTGGTGGCGGGTAATTTTTCCTTGCTCGAGGCGTTACCGACTCCTCGCCCACGCCCGAATCCGAGGACGCCGGCTGCTGGTCGAACCACGATCCCACGTACCGCCTCTTCCGGCGGCCATGGCTCTGGTAGTTGTCGATGGCCGGGTCGTCGTCGCTGGAGAAGAAGGCGGGGTCGCTCGAGGTAGAGGACGTGGTCGGGGGAGATTGGCCGTTTCGACCACGCTTCCGCCGGTCGAATCCAAGCGAAGGAGGAAGCACTGGGAGGGTGGGTTCCTCCGCCATGATGGTCCTTGGGGTTGGTGTTTGGAGTTCCAAGATGGTCGTGTGATCAATGGCCAGGTGGTGATGTGACTGGTTCTGGGAAGTGATGAGGCCAGGCCGAAGGGACCAACAAGTTTGGTGCGTCGCCTACCCGCGGAGCGCAACGGGGAGAAGAGAAGCCGTAGACGGCGGCGCACGAGGAAGTGAACTGAGGAATAGGCGGGGAGAGAAGCCGTGGGGTGAAAGGATCGGGCTCAGAGCTTGGGCCAACGCGCCGCCATGCACATGTGAAAATGCAAAGAACAATGCATGAACACAGAAACTATATAACAGGCCTTAGGTGGAGTGCAAAACTTGAAGGACAAACTCAAACCATAGGCGGTTGGAAAATATATCAGCAAAAAAAAACAGTCGACACCCAGAGGATGGTGAAAAAACAATATTTGAAGTGGCCGAAATCGCGTCAGTCGCGTCACGATCCAGGGTCAAGTCGCGAATCGGTTACCCCACATGGTGGGTCTTGGCGGGCCACTCGGCGGGGCTCCGTTCCGGCCCGTGCGGCCGTGAGCGGTCCGGGCACTCCGGGGTGGGTCTAGATCCGACTTCAAGGCCGGGTCACACGGAACACTCCGTGGCAGCAGAAAGCGAGGGAAAGAGCATGTCAAGAATTTTCCATTTACACTCTCGCATTTCCCACCAAGAAATGTGCAATAACCCCAATTCTTGGCCGCCAAATCATCTCCCGCTCGAGTCCGGGGCCTACCCATTCTGGCCTTGCAAACAAGCAGTCGATGGATTAATTATTTCCCGCTTCCCGGCGACCAACTCCCTCCGGGCATTTTGGGGGAACAATAGGTGGTTTCTTCAAAAGTTTGAGCTCGCAAGATCTCCGGTAAAGAAAATCCAGGCCGTCGTCGTCATTTGTGGCGTTCGCATCGTACGTTTTGTGTGGACTCTTATCAGGTGAGCTCGGCCATTTCCAATGTCCAGTGATGTGTCGTCCATGCCGTTTTAGGCAATTTGCCTCGACTTGCACCAACCACACTCAAGAAAAATTTCGCTCAAAGAGCCGAAGCAAACGGAGAGCAATAGCACTTCCGACTTGTTGTCATTCCACGTTGGGGTCATCATGAACTCACTTCAGAACACAATCTTGGAAGCCCAATATTTGATTCTCGAGCTAGCATGAGTGGACAGTGTTGGAATGTGTTGCACTCCCAAAATACCGAGATGATTTGTGTAAAGAAATCAATGCCGGAAACCATGAGCAAATCGTGATAAAATATCAACCGCCGCCGCCCGCCCCGGATAATCCATCGAAAAGCCCTGCTCCAACTCCTCCATATTCCCGGAACCATATTTCCTTGTGCCACTGTGTATTCCCGAATCCCGACGCATTGAAAGTGCAAGAAAAGCAAAGAAAAAGGCTGTTGAAAAGAAAAGAGACCCGTGGTTCCAAACTCCCAAGATGGATGTAAAATGGTGCAAAGCAACAGCTCCTCGTCCTCCCCGGAAAATCTCGTGCAGTGTCGATAATATTAAGGGCACCCGGAAAACCCAGCCGTTGACAAGAAAACGGGTCCTTGAAAAATGGACGGTCATGCCCGTTGCGTATGTTTGACTGAAAAGGTGTTGAGAAGACTGAATGAGAGAGGATGTTGACATCTGCCTTGCTCATCTGTCTGACCGCGCCGAATCCGCAGAGAGCCTCAGACGAGATGGGCGGGATGGCAACGGCCTCGCGCAGGCGCTCAATGAAGGCATCGGAAAGGGCGTCGACCTTCTGGAAGTAGCCGCCGAGTTGAGGAGCCATTTTTCGGGCTTGATGGGCTCATGTAGCCTCGGTAAGATATGAACGGGAGCTTGGAGGTGTTGGGCAAAGCTGGGCGCGGGTCCGCCGGAAAGGAGTTGGCGACGCTGGTAGAAGGGCTGGTGCTCAACTTGTCTAACATCCTCACAAATATCTGTTAGCTTCGACTCCTCAATGATCCATGCGGTAAATTGAATGAAGGGTCAGATGTAAGCTTACCAAGGAGCAAAAGCGAAAAGCGAGCGATTCGCTACTTAAATGTTGTCGCTGGTCCCATGCTCGTTATCAGCGTCGTATCCCGCCTCTCTCGCCTCTCTCGCCTCTCTCGCCTCTCTCGCCTCTCTCAGCTCTTTTCTGCAAAGCTCGTCGAAGGCCTCAATTTCGGAGCGCGACATGGGTGGATCGGCACCGCCGGTGTCGAAGGTTCGAATGTCTTCTTCGTCGACCAAGTCTTCCCAGTTCAGCTCTTCCTCATCTTCATCCTCCTCTGGATGGCCTTCATCATCCTCATCCTCCTCCGGGTCGCCGTCGTCCTCCTCAGCTGCCTCCTCGTCAGAATCTTCAAGGTAAGACTCGCCGGCGTCGGACACCTCTCCAATGAGATCCGCTTCGTTCCTCGGGTGGATTGGGGGGGAGGACGTGAAAGAGTCTGACAGCTTGCTGGGGTCGTTCTTGTCGCCCTTGGGCTCGGCATCGTCGTCGGGATGGAGCTTCTCCCTCTTCGGCTCCACCTCCTCCTCCTCGTCGCTGTCAAGGGTGATGACCCGCTTTCTCTTCGCCTGGTCAATCGTCCTTTCCCGCGCTTCCTCCCGCCTCTTGGCCGCCCAGCGGTCCATTGACAGGTGGGCCTTCTCTCGCTCCTCCTCGCTGTCCACAGCGTCGGTGAGGTCGATCAGGTTGCCGCGCGACTCCAACCACCGGGAGTCCTCGATGACTGCCCGACGGTTGGCCTCGCGCAGCGCGGGCCGCAGCTCGATCACAGCGGCCATGCGCGGGTTGGCGAAAGCCCGAGTGCGCTGTTTCAGCGTCCACTCATCTTGCTCCCTGCGCTTTTGGCTGATTTGGCGCGCTGTGTCGCTCTGGGTTGCTTGCACCAAGGCGCGGGCTCGCGCCACACTGGGCCGGACGTCGCCGTCCGGAGGTGTGGTCACGGCCGTGGCCGAAGGCTCATCACCGGCAGTGGCCAGTGGCATGGTATCGTTGCTGGCGCGTCGCCGCAGCCAGGTCCCGGACTTGTCGTCAGGCCCCCCAATTTCTTCCTCCGCCCGCTGCTCCACGAAGAAATTGGCAGTCGTGGTGCGGCGCGGGTTTGGCCTGCTGTGCGGCCGAGGGAAATATGGGGAGTAGCGAGGGGGCGGGGTCTTTGGGCCCGCGCCTCTCCGAGAGCTCTTGCTCGCACCGTTCTTGTTGCCGTACATGGCGTTTTTGCTTGCTTGGGCGAGGGCTTCTTCTAGTTCCTGGTCAATGTTGTCGAGAGGATTGGGAGTTGGACCTTGGGGGCGAGGACCGGCGTACAAATTGGCGTAGACAGCCGGGATGGAGGGGTTCCAGCCGTTAAGTAGGAGCCGGTTGGGTCGGCGGCCCTCTGGCTGTTGGGTGCTGGCCAGACCCTGGGTGGCAGCAACGCCGCAGTTCTCCGCGGCCTTGCTGCCCCCCGTGCCTGCCGTCCCAACGCCAGAGGGCATGGCCGACCCGCCCGAGTCGGAATATTCGTTCCTGTAAGTATTGTTAACCCCATCGAAAGTACGGAGAGGCGCCTTTTTGTTGGGGGCTAGCATTCCAGGACCCTCAACAGGAATCCTCCTGATATCCATGCTGTATCCGCAGCCGCCGAAGATTTCGTTCCCGATGTAGCATTTCTCGCAGCGAAGGACTTCCACAACGTCGTAGTATCCCGGCTTGAACCGCTTGGTCAGCCGCCCAACTTTGCAAGTCGGGCAGTCTGATCGAGGCTCTTTGAGTTGATCCTGATTTTTGTTGAGATTGTAGACCATCCTGGCGATCTGCTTGCGCGTGGCAATCTTGCGATTCTCCAGCTCCTGCCCTGCCGCGCTCAGGTTCTTGCCGCCCTGGCCCGCGCCTTCCAAGGTGATTCCCCCGTAGGTAGCCGGCAGCTGCCCTGAATAGATTTCTGGGTACAAGGCCGGGTCATCGTCCAGGTCTTCGCTGTAGTCACATGGGGCCGCTCCTGCCTTTCGGTTTGTGCAAAGGAACCGGTATGCCACGGTCGGTTGGCCTAGATCCCGAGAAACGCGAGAGAGGCGCTGACGACGGCCGGTCCTGCACTTTGGGCAAAGCCCATACTTGTCGGATGATCCTGCCATGGTCGGCGATCCGTTGAAGAGGGGAGAGCCAGGACTACTGACTGGGCGAGAGAGGAAGGTGGGAAGAAGCAAATGGGCGGGAGGGGAAACGAGGCAAGGTTGGGAAGTGGGAGGATCGATGGTTCGAGATTAAGAAGGAGGGTCAAAGGGCCGAGGGTAGAAACAGGGACCAAGATGCCGAGAGTGAGCCGATGTAGGCGGGTCCAAGCTAGGGCCGAGCGGGAGGGTGAACCAACAAGGCGAATGCAGACCGGCGCCGTCGGGTCTGGACCGGGGGCGAGTAGGAGTGTGAACCAACAAGGCGAGTGCAGACCGGCGCCGGCGCCGGCGGGTCCGAGCTGGGCGAGTGCGGACCGATTAGGGCGGGTGCGGACCAACAGGGCGAGTGCGGACTGACCGGGGCGAGTGCGGACCAACGCTGCGAGTGCAACCGATGCGGCGGGGAGGATTGAAGAGGCCGGGGTTTGAACTGATGAAGCAGGAGGGAGGGAGTTGATGGGGTGATGGTGAACTTACGCAGTGGGAGAAGCCATTTGGCGGCTATACGGGAGGGATGTAGGATGGCCATAAGGGAATGAACCCTGTAAGAATATATAGAAGCCAGGTAAGATGCCTGTGAGGGCAGGAACCCTGTATACAGAGATAGAATGATCGTGAGGTTAGGATCCCCATATGGGGATCCGGTGATCACAAGTTTCCTTGTGGTTGAAGCGAGTGGGACGATCGCCCCCCTCATCTAAGCAGCGAAAATTGAATCCCCGTGGGGAAAAGGAGCCACCCGGACCGGGGTTGTGCCCTACTCGGGGCTTTGGGAAGTCGCGACCCAAGGGGACGCAGCTGGGATTACCGAAGCAGCGAGGATTCTCAACCGATCAGGGATTCGACACAGCGAGTATTCTCGACGGATCGGGGATTACGGATGCAGTGGGTATTCTCGAAGTAGTGAGATATTTGTGCAAAATCGTGGTGAGGATTCACGACACAGCGAGGATTCACGACACAGCGAGGATTGTCGATGAAGAGGGGGGTTACTGGACATAGAGGTAGGACTCCAGACACAAAGAGGGTTCTCGGTGTAGAGGTAATTCTCGGCACTGGGAGAATTCTTGATGTAGATGGAATTCTGGACGTAAAGAGGACTCTGGACATAGAGAGGACTTTGGGCGCGACGAGGACTTTGGACACAGAGAGAGTCTTGAAGTAGAGGGGATTTTGGACGTAAAGAGGACTTTAGACAGAGAATAGTTTTGTCACAAAGGAGTAAAGGAGATAAGGGATAGGGGGGATTATCATGTGAGAATTCCCAATGTTCTTTTCCTCAAAATTTGTCTTTTGATCTTTGACACATATCTATCATAAGTACGGGACAACATCAACGCTAGCCTCTCAAGGCAACAGCCTCTTGGGGGTACGGGGGTAAAACGCTGCGAGATGGACGCTGGGCAAGTTGAGATACCACGCGACTACGCGATCCAGACCGATACCGCCACCACCGTGCGCGGGAATACCCGCTTGGCGGAAGATGTCGACGTACTCCTTGATACCCGGGCTAGCGGGGTCGATTCCCTTGGTGCGGATGCGGGCCTCGAGCTCGACGGGGTCGTGGATACGTTGACCGCCCGAGCAGATCTCCTGGCCACGCATGAACAGGTCGTAGGCGTTGGTAACCTTGCGGTTGGTAGGGTCTTCCTTGGCATAGAAAGGACGGGCTTCCTCGGGAAATTTGTCGAGCACGTAGAAGTCGGTGTTGTACTTCTTGCGGATGATGGCGCCAAGTGCCTTTTCTTGCGGCGTGCTCATGTCCTCGTCGTCGCTGACGTTGCGGAATTCCTCGGGGCCTTCTTCACGGAGCAGCTTTTGGCCCTCCGCAAAGGTTAGGCGAACTTCCTTGCCAGGTTCGGGAAGGAGGAACTCTTCTGAAGGATAAACGGAACGGACGAGAGCAATCTCTTCGGCGCAGCGTTCTTGGATGTTGCGGAAGATGTGGAAAAGGACACCTTCAAGTACTTGCTGTACACGTTTGTCTTAGTAAAATCTCGTTTTGGAAAAATGATACGAAGGGAGGGTATCCATACCACGACCTCGCGGTAGTCCTTCTTGATTTCCATTTCCATATCAAGGCCGGTGAATTCGGTCATGTGCCTAGGCGTATTGGAGTTCTCGGCTCTAAAGACGGGCCCAACACTGAATACACGCTTCCGGCCACCAGCAATCTCGATTTGCTTGTAAAACTGCGGCGATTGCGCTGTACGACTGTTGCGTTAGCATCGGCTCACTCGACAATGGAACACATTCTTGAAATCAGGGGTCGCCTACCCAAGAAGGCCTCCTTCTCAAAGTACGGCATGCGGAACACGTTCGCACCACCCTCAGACGCGGCAGCGATAAGGCATGGTGGCTCAAACTCCTTGAACCCCTGCGACCTCAGGTACGAGCGGTACAGCTCCTTCACCTCGCCACGGATGTCCGCAATCGCCTGCTGGACGGCCGAGCGCTTGTGCATGACAATGTTGTCAAGATGTGTCAGCATGCTTGCCGCGGGAATGTTCGTGGTTTCGTTGCCCGCGGGAGCAACCGAAAGCTTCTCGACCTCCTGTTCGATAGGCACCTCCTCATCGCTGAAGTTGGCAACGGGCCGGTTCGCCGCGGCAAGGGTCATGCCTAGGACAGACGGCGCAGCGGCGTGCACGAAGCACTTGGTGATATGTAGCTCGTAGTTGACCACAGTGCAGCTTTTGACGGTATCAAGCGGCTTCTGGACCTTGGCTTCGACCACGACAAAACTCTCCGGGTTGATGGCGCCAACCCACTTGACCATCTGCTTGCTGACCGGGGTGCCTTCCGGACTGGCGACCACGATGCCCTGGATCGACAAGTTGCCCTCCTCACGCAGCTCGATGAACGCCATCTTGGCACCCTGCATGCGGGCGTTCTGCATCCAAGCGCGCAGCTCGATCGTCCTGCCGACATGCTCTTCGCCGAGGCTTTTGAGGCTGACTTCGACGACATCCGCGGACAGCTTCGTCTCGTGCGTCTCCTGCCCGTAGTTGTCCTTGGCGAGATCCTCCGTTTGAGCAGCTGCCTTAGCCGCGGCTTGGGCGGTAGCTTGTTCGGCTGCGCGACGAAGCTTTTCGGCCTCCTTCTTGGCCTTGGCCTCCGCCTTCTTAGCTGCCTTCTTAGAAATGCCGCCCTCACCCCCTTCAGCCGCCGCAGCGGCCGCCGCAGAAGGTCCGGCTTGAGGAGGGGCTGGGTTTTCTGAGGGTTCGGCCATCTTTGAGTGTGATTCGAATTGGGTTGTCGGTAGATTGGTGGATCACGGAAATTGGGAAACTTCTGGCTGAGGGTGAGGGACGACCTGTGTGGAGATTGGTCGTGTGAATCAAAATTTATGAGTCGATGAAGATCCCGGCCTGACACACAACGCGGTGGAGGGGCATTTTTGGCGGGGCATGGAGGGGCAGATCTCGGCTGAAGTGATCAACCCTAACCCCGAGGCTCAAAGGTGAGTCAACCCAGCTCTTTTAGAAGCCCTCCCGGTTTGATTGCAGGCTTTATTGAACTTTGGCAGTAGGAGGCTATACTGACATCTGTTTTACCTTTTCCAGTATATTTGTGTCATCATAAAGAGATAGAGCGAGCAGAGAAAGCTGCGGTAGATTGTGCTGGGCGTCAAAGGGAGACTTGACATCGATAAGCAATTACCGGGGTGGCTAGCTTGCTAGCCAAGCAAGCCAAGCAAGCCAAGCCAGAGAACTCGCGTCTCGCATGATGGAACTTCATTTTCCTTTTCCATGTCCAAATTTTTGGTCGGTTTATTCAAAGGATCCGCGCTACAGCTTGCGCTTCGTGAACGCGCCTCTCTGACAGGCGATCGCATACAATGGGCTCGAAACGAAACCATAGTTCCTCCACTGGCGAGCCTGGATCTTCGTGCCTGCCGAACAAACGCCGGCGCGAGCAGCAAAACACCAAATCGAAACCATCAGAAGGCAAACCTGACCCGACGTATGGGCAGAGAGCTGCCTTTCCTGGCCTTGACGACGAAGGTTGTGGGCAAATCTCTGATGAAGACCTAGAATTCGAAGAGAACAGTGATGCGCTCGCGTATCTAAGGGCGGTCCGGTAAGCTCTCCCTTTCAACACTGCATCCATCTTCCCATCTCCATTATCAATCATCTGCTAAAACAACAACTTCCCATTCCTCAGCTGGCACCGGCTCCTAACATCATGATCCTAAAATAAATTGAATGGTAAGACTAATGGTAAGTACCTCACAGACAAGAAGCAAACGGCGTTCCCAATGTTCTAGTCGCCCCCAGAGCGGGACCCCAGCTTCCGCCTCACCTCCAAGACCTCGATGCCATCGATCGCAGCATTTACGCCGACGGTGTCGGTGATTCGCGCGGTTACTACCAAGACGGCGCGTATACTGCAGCTCCCGATCCAGACCCGTTGACCGATTCTTCCGTTGAAGACGAACAGGACGATCGAGTCGAAGAAGGCGATGGAAGCAAGGCTGCATCGTCATTTCCCCGACGCGACCGTGTTGCCGCCCAAAATGCCGCCCTCCGCCGAGCCTACTTCTCCGCTCTCATAGCCCGTTTTCTCAACCTACGTACCATCCTACACCGCACACCACCGCCCACCCTCGTTACCGCTCTTCCACGCGACCATGGGGTCGAGGTAGGCTCCTTCGGTCCGCGCTCGTGGACCTTCCGCGTCTGGTCGCGCCGTTTCCGCCACACCGACCCGCTCCCGGCCCAGGTGGCTGCCCTCGACCGCCAGGGTGCTCTGCGTCTGTTGCGAGTCCTGCTCGGCGGCAAGTTCATCCGCCGCGGCTATGAACTGCGCCCACGCACCAGTCGTTGGATATGGGCGTTGCTCGCGCGTCTGCCTGATAGCGGTGAAATGGACTATGCCGAGGTCGGTTGGGTGCGTGAGCTGGGGAAAAGAGCGGTGTTGATGATGGTCAGTATGGCTCAGATGGAGGCTCTTCAGGAGGAGGTTGAGGAAGACTTGGAGGGAGAAATGAACGACAATGGCGAGGAGGAACAAGAGGAGGAATTTCTCGGAGAACTAGTTGTTGACGAGGATGCTGAAAGAGGCGTTGCCGTATCGACGACAACAGGACTCGAGAAGGCTGATACTACAGAGGCTGACAATGGCCACTGTGAGATTGCTGATGACCAAAACGAAGACGGCGAGATGGACATGGACCTCGACGAGGGCGAAGTTACAGATGACGATCAGCCGGCCGTCCCCGCCGCCTCGAGCAACAGCGACGAGGACCTCGCTGCCGATATCGCCGCGGCAAAAGCCCGTCTGCTAGCCCGCCTCGAAGCCGGCTCAAGTACAAACGAGAACCAACATCCAGAACATGAACAACAGGAACAAGCCGGTGACGACCTTGAGAATGAAGAGGGAGAGTGGGAGCCGACCGAGAATTCTACCCTCGACGAGGCAGAAGCTCGCGCCAACATGCGAGCCACCCTTAACATGATCCTGACCGTGGCTGGTGAGTTCTACGGGCAGCGAGACCTGCTTGAGTTCCGAGACCCATTCCCAGCGCAGTAAAAAGATTGAGAGGTAAACGGGCATATGGGTTGGGTGTTATACTACAGCAAGGTGGAGGTGTCACCGTTCCATTTTCTCTTTTAGCTTATCACGCCCATGACGAAAAGCCAGAAAACGGTTTGTAGGACCATTTAGTAGCTCATTGTAATTCAAACTCAGGACTGTCTCCCATTTGTTCGATTTGCAATGTGCTATATTTTCAAGTCAAAGGTAACGGACTAGCACATTAACAACGAAGCAGTAAATTAACTCCTTCTAATCCTCCCTGCCTACGAGGGGCGGCATTGCCATGATGCCCACTCGTCCATAAACGCCGAAATACCCCAGTGGAAATAAACACGTCCTAACAAGTCCATCTCCTCCCAAGCCATGGTATATAATGCGACATCCTCCTCCCCTTAACTATGCCCGAGCCGTCATGATTCGGACTCAACTCAGCAAACCGGAAACGCCATGAAAATCGCGATGCAGAAATATGAGACCTTCCTCCGTCAAACATCCACCGTTATGAGCCGACGCCGAGACCGGAACACCGATCAAGCCGCTTACTCGACCTCCATCCTACCATAGTCCAGAAAGTTCGCCTCCTCAAAATCATTCCCATCCCGCCCCTTCCCCACAACCATCACATTCTCCTGCCCAGACCCACCCATCTCCTCGTCATCATCATCGTCCTCCTCTTCCGAGCTAGACGAAAGCCCAAACCCACCAAACACCTTACTATCCAGCTCCATCATGCCGCCGCTAGAGCTAGGTCCATTGGCCAGCTGCTGGTGCTTCGACCGCCTCGGCACGGCCAACACCCGCGCATTCTCCCACGCCCCAGCCGGCGGCACCAAACTCCGCGGTGAAACTTCCTCTTCGAGCCAGGCGGCAACCGGATTATCGCTGCTCAGGCGTGTTGGGCCGCGATAGGGGAGCGTGGTGGACAGGGCGCTGTGGGCAGCTTCCTCTTCGTCGGTGGTGTAAATGCGCTTGCGGGTTGGGGGTTGAGGCGCAGAGGAGAATGCGGTGGCGATGTTAAGGGTGCCGGCAGGGTTGGCGAAAGCCGCGAAGGATGAGGGCGAGAACGAGGACGAGGACGAGACGGTATCTTGGCTGCTGGTCAAGCCCGGATTGCCATCTCCGTTGCTGCTGCTATCGTAGGCAGGCTGAAAGGCCAAGCCGCCAACCCTGTTCAGCCCGCAGAAGGGCTCGAGCTCGCGCATGGAAGAATTGTACGGCACGCTGGACGGTGCCGAGCTTGGCTGGGCGTCATCGGCAGTATTTTTGGTGGCATTGTCTTCGGCCCAGAGGGTGAAGGCGCTGTAGGCGGTGCCGGTCTTGTAACCTTCGGGGATCGCCTTGCGGACTCGCATGCCGACATTGAGGAGGTCGGTTTGGATCTGAGCGGGGACGGCGGGACCGTCAAGGGGAGGCTTTGGGGAGGGGTTGGCGGAATTGGAATTGGCCCCTGATGTAGACCGGGAAAAGAAGGAGGTGATGGAGCGCTGCGACGGATCGCTGGCCGCGCCGGCGAATTGCCGCTTCGTGCGAGGGCCCGTCATTTGATGCGATTTTTGTAGTGAGATTCAAATATTGCGTCGGATATATCTTGATGGTGTTGGGTTCATCTGAATGGAGAACAATCGGACAGGGTTTTGGTGCATTGACGAGAAGAAGAAGAGTAAGAAAGCAAAGGGAAGGAGGGCTGGGGGCTGAAGCGTCAGATTCGAGGCGGCCGACCAACCGATTCGGGAAATAGTAATGAAAGTGGGGGCTGGGGTGAGCGGCGCGCGCCGACCGTGTCTTGACGCGTGAATTGGATAAGCTACCACGTGATTGGCTCGATATTTAAGGTACTTAAGTTACATGAGTGGAGTGAGGCTGGGGTAGGTTTGCAACAAAAGGTCACTCACTGCACTGCCTTGGAAGGTTCCCAAGGCTATCCTTAAATGACGTCCACAGGTCAAAGTGCTCGGAATGCTCTTGCCTAGGTACGGAGTACACAGCAAGGTTTGTGTGACTAAACCCGTGACGTCAAACATGCGGCTTGTCCAAGAGGAGCTAGGGTGCTCGAAGCAAAAGGATGGGGCTAGGGAACGGTGTGTCTACCCTCGCTATGGCCAGGAAAAGCGGCACACTGAAACATATAGCTCAAGTCCAATCCATTAGCATTCGGTAAAATCTTAATAAATCTTGATTGATTTACTCTTTTTTGTCTTTTTTTCACTTTCTTTTGTTTATTCTTTTTGGCCTTTTTCACTTTTGTAGCAAAGTAAGTTAACGTGCCTTATAAGCGAGCCGAACATATAAGCGGGTCGAACATTCCTTGGCAC